AGTTGCGCAAGCTCGGTGATGCGCTACCTAGAAATGTGGGTCGACTCTAGGCTAACTTTCTGGAAGCAAAAAAGCAGCCGACAAAGCCTGAAGGATTGCGAGAGCGCTTGTACGAATAATGACCAATGTTGTGAGCCCACGAGAAGCAAAAAGATGGCTTCTTGCGTATGCCCTCAACTCATACAGCTGTATGGTGAGGAGGCATGGGCAGATGCACTGGCAAAACGGGACGTTTGAGAGCGTCTCACTATGGTGCAACAAATCACATCCCTGAAGATTGCGTGCCCCTAACACTCGGTCTTCTCCACCGCAATCATGGTGACGGCATGAACGATACTCATTGTGTTCCTTGAACTGGAGTGACAAAAGAAATTTTTATGCTTCAGTGACAAAAGTGACGGCAACAGGCAGGAGGAAACCATGAAAACACGGCAACATGAATAAGATCGGGCTGGTGTGGGTAGGTGGACGCACCAGCTAATACTGGAATTGCGACCATGGGTGAAGTAAGGGCACAGATAGGTCAATTTTTACCTTACCTAGTTCTTATATGGGCATGGCCACTTAAATGCTTATCTTCATCACGTGAAATTAATAGCATCACCTAGATGCACTTTACTACCCAGCGTTGGATAATACCATCGAACACATATATATTTTTTGTGTGCAAGAGATGGCACCATAAGGGCCAGCATCTCACAGACAGGCACAGTGAGGACCTCACTCCCAAAAATATTATCTCTGAGATGCTTCGCACCGAAGCAGATTTGAGGGCTGTAAATAGCTACGGCTGGTCGGTCGTCCGTCGGAAAAAAAAGCCGTCCCACAGGGTGCGGGCGTTGCCGAGAAAGCTTTCTGAGGCAACAAGGTTCTCACAGAAAAATAATAAATATATAATGCAGACCCACACGGCGCTAAGTACACTCACTTATCAGCTGGGGGGAACCTCAAACGTTTAGTGGTGCTTGGAAAGATTGCAGCTTTCAAAGAAGCGCTAGAAAAGGTTGTTGGTCCACAGAAACTCGTAGTCCTTTCCAGGACTCAAAAGGATTGGCACCTCTAGCAACTTATAGCAAGCTTGCTCGCTAATGCTGTGAGATACGATAATCTCCCTGGAGGCTTCAATAGGGAGTAATGCTAACACAGTTACAGGGTGAAACTGGAGGAACGCGGCATGGGGGGGGGTGAGTGGGTATGAATACTACTACTACAACTACTACGACTACTACAAATACTGCTACTACTCCCGGCTGGAACTTTTAAGCTAGTTTCTCCATACCAGGCGCTTTTCCGGGTGGCCGATAGGGGCACCTTCTTAAGATCTGAAGTGAAACCGGTCAGTTAGGGCGGCTATTTGCGGTGGCGGTGAGGGGCATAGATAGGGAGGCATGGTCAGCACGGCGTTGGAGTGTGTGTCTCTATCTTTGTTGACGTAAGCATTGTGCTCTCTGTCTTCATTGATGTGGATGCGGGAGCCAGCGCTGCTTGTACTTTTTGCTTTCTGCAGCCGCCGCGCGCCGTAGATGACACATTAATGCTTGTTGCGGGCCAACAAAAACTAGCACCCCGTCGTGTGTAGAAGTAAGCGGTGGTTATAACGTTCTTCTCAGATACATGCATAACTTTCTCACTAAACAAACACAGATTCACTCACTAGTTGTTTCGGTTTGCGCTAGGCAGGATCTCTCTCTGGATGGTGTGGGGGGCCTGGCGGCTGGTGAAGCCAGACGATGAGGCTTAGGTGAGTCTGGGTAACCGCCATTGATATGGCTGCATGCCTCATAAACAAAAAATACATGGTGGGCTGATTAATCTAGACTTAGTACCACTGAAGAGGCTACATGGCGGCACTTTAAGTGGCTTTTATACGCCAGCTCGTTTGGTCGGATTGTCTGCGCCGGTCGTGGGATTGTATACCTGCTGCCCGTCTTGCTGGGATGACTGTGGTGTACCAATATATACACACACTAAACACAATCACTACTCTTAAACTTCCTACACAACGCCAGGACAGTCTTCACGGGTGAGACTGAGGAAGAGTGGAAACTCCCAACCAGCGTGAGCAAGTAGCACCTATCTTCAGCAACGAATTGGGCTGCTGCACTGATTTTTACCATTTTCAGATGTTTATTTTCGGAAAGAAGGGAAGTGTTGACTTTCACCGGCCAACACGATCTCAAGAAAAACAAAAAATGAAGAACGTCAATGTCAAACTTCAACCCCAGGCGGTTACTTTTCCGAGGAAATCCGCTAGCAGTTCCAATTCAGTGCAAGCCCGGGTGACTGCTGCTGGCCCCACAGATTCTGGGGGGGGGGGGCCNTTAACGAAACAAAAACTTATAGTAAGAAGACATAGTTTCATTCCTATTTTGTTTTTATGATAGAAAAAACTGGCACTCTAGGAGTGCAGACAGAAGTTAAAACTTTAAGAATAACGTGGGCATTTTTGAATAGTCAGGATGTATTTTTTGTAGGGAAATACTTTTTACGCATTGCTGGGCTGGGCAGTGCCCTAAAAAACCGCAAGAGGGGTGTCGGGAACCCGGACACAAGCAAAGTGGCCCCACAGATTCTGGGGGGGGGGGGGGGCCTAAGACGTGTCTCACGGCCAACAGAGACTGTTAAATGTTCAATGGTCTTTTCTTACAGATGAAGTCTTTGAAGTATAGGCAGTGACGTCAGCAAGGGTAGTAATGTGACGGTCTTCAGCAACCAGACTTAAAATAAGCTTGAATCGATGGAAAAAAATGATTCTGAGTTCAAAGTGAAGTCGCAGCGGGAGATGAAACAAGTTCAATCGGCAACAAGAGAGATTTAAGAGACGCTGAAAGCAATTACTGATAAGTACGGAAATACGGCAAACGCTGTGAAAAATGGTCTTAACGCTGCGCTTAAACACATGGAAGTAGCAGAGGGAATGAAAAAAGGCGCACTTTTGAATGAAAAAATGTTGATAAACAGTTGGAAGGATTGCTTCAAACCACTAAAAATTAGGAAACAAAGGCGAGATGATTTCCGACGACATGTTTAGAAAAAAACCCTGAACACTGCCCTTAAAAAAATGGAGCGAGTTAAAAGAAACAAGAGCCCACCAGACAGCTCTGAAAAACGTCAACAAGTCATGTTTAAAAAAAAAAAAAAAAAAAAAAAAAATAGGCAGAAGCCAACAGGAAGAGGTTCTTCTGAACGACAAAAAAGATCAGAAGAAGAGAGTAGACCCAACAACAACAGCACTGGTAAAGATGGCCGAAGGACAGACCTTTGCTAATGTGCTGAAGTCAATAAAGGCGAACTTTGACCCTGACAAGGCCAATGCCACAGTTAAAAGTGTTGTTACCACAAGGAAAGGAGACATACTGATAAAAGCCAAAGGTGTAGAGGATGCGATTGCATTCTCACAACAAATTAAAAAGTCGGTAGCTGGAGAGGAAACTGTCAAAATGAACACGAAAAAAGTGATACTAGAGGTCCAAGACCCGGACGCTATTGTCGAGGAAGACGAGGTTAAAGAGGCTTTTGTCAAGACTTTTGGACTAGATAGCTAAAAGCCTAAAGAAGCTCTCTTAAAATCAAACATTAGAGGACAGAGGCTGGCGTTGATAACGGTAGTCGAAGCAACTGATAGACAAGCAGAGAATGAAGGCAGATTAAGAGTTGGCTTCACAAGCTGCCAAATCCAACGAAGAATCGAAGTAACAAGATGTTACTAATGCCTGATTTACAGACATGTCTTAGGCAACTGTAAAAAAGAAAGTAAGTCCAAGCTTTGCTTCCGGTGAGGAAACTGCAACCACCGGAAAAAAAAATGTTCAGGCCCAGCACAGTGTTTTCTCTGTCCAACGACGGACAATAAGCACGAAGCCAGCAGTAGGAGCTGTTGAGAAAAGCGCTAGAAGAAACCAGAAAAAGGCTCAAGCAGGGCGCAAATAAGGCGGAAAGGCCTTGCGTAGAAAGGTGGGCAAATGTGTACCCACGCTGCTCTAAGTACTTGTACCTATCAGCAAGGAAAAGCATCAAGCTTATAGTGGTGCTTGCTAAGTTTGCTAACTTGCCTACTATGGAGCACTAGACAGGGTGCTGGTCCTTAGGGACTCTGAGTCCTTTTCAGGACTCGAGAGGATTCGCACCTTTAGCAAATGGTGACGAGCTTGCTCGTTAATGTTGTGAGACGCGATGGTCTCCCCACCGAGTCCCACACTACCGCTGTCCCTGCGGTGTGTCTCAATGCATTTCCCCTCCCTCTACAAAAAAAAACTACTGTTACAGCGACTGCTGCTGCTGCTGCTGCTACTACTACTACTACTTCTTTATAAATAATAAATGTATAGAATAAGAGAAAGGTGGTGTTTTTTAGCTCCGTACTTATTATTGTGAGAGATTCGAACTATGTTAGCGTTATTAATATTGTTGAACATTTGACGGAATTCAATGTTTTGCCATAAATTTATATAGATTTATGAGGTATGTTGTATACAAAAAATTGAAGGTTATATAAAATTCTATTTAATAGATTAAGTTGTGTGACTCTTATTTTAAGATATAACAATGCGAGCCATGGGAACTTTGTTTTCATCGGCAATACCATGACCCACTTGGTTTTAGTAAACTCACATGTATTGTTTTTTGTGAGCAATATGGTGCGTATTTTATAGTTTTTATTTAATTTAAAAAAGTAATTCATAGCTATAGACAGTAAAAAATTTTTATGTTTTTTATTAACTAAGGCATACTATTGTATTTTCTTGCATACAACTAAAACACGTTATAATAATAAAATAAACACATTTCGTTGGTTTAAATTTTCTGAATCGAAGATTGAATATTACTTTTTTTTTAAGCCACAGCATCACACAGTTCTACAGTTAAATGGAATTCTAGAATATTATTACAACAATTCTGATTGATTATGTATTTGTTAATATTCTGTTAAACATTTGTACTGGAAATAAACTCAAGGGCTACATCCATGCGAAAAAAATGAGAATTAGATTATTACTTACATATCAGGATAAAAATTATTTAACCATGTTTCCATCTGAGTACTAGTTGACATGGCTAAGCCGGCCCAAGAGTTAAGTTCTTCTGGGTGTAAGCATAAGTCTAACATGTAATATTTTATTGCATTTTCCCACGACTGATTTGATGAGGCTTTGAAATAATGATCAGCAATGAGGTAATATATGTATGATATGCCATTGCCAATTATTTTTTCTACTCTTGGAATATCTTCTCGATTTCCAAGTAAAAAGGCATTCATATCTTCTAGTTTGTAAAATGGGTCACTATCCGATGGAACTAAATGACATATTTTTTTAAACAAGACAACTGTGTCTAAATTTATAGAATCATTTTTTCTTGATACAAATGATGGAAAATTTCCTGGTTTATAAAACTCGAACAATAATTGACTTTTCTCCCATGTTAGGGCTATAGTAGTTTTAACATGCTCATCAAGGTATCTAGGTTTTGATCGTATACCACTAATAAACTTTGATGGATGCCCATACAAACAAAAAATTACTTGCTCTAGAGGCTGTCTCAATTTTTCTTTAATGTGCGAAAACGGTGGAAAGTTTAATTTTGGGACGAGTAATTCCATTATAAAAAGTAATAGTTTCCCATTTTTCATACAGCACAATCCATGTCGACCCAAAAATTTATGAGCTTTGAGCAAAATTACAATAGATGCTGGAATATCTTCATTGTCTTCATCTTCATTCTCCTCAGATACTTTAAAAAGAGCAGTAGACTGTAGTTCATTTTTAGTTACTGATGTAGTTTTTGCTCGACGTTTATCATCTTCACTAAAAGAAGTAAAATATTAATACAATGGTGCTTATTCAAATACTTTTTTTACTTACAATTGAAGGATATGGTGTAATAAGATCCATGGTAAAACGGTGTCAATAGGTATATTAAAACTTCTTCCAAGTAAATCTAATTGATGACAAAGAATATGAATCAAATTTTGCACTAAACGAGTTCTTTGGTTGAAAGGCAAATATTTCACTGCAAAAAATTAGCTTAGTTAAATTTTAATTTTATTTATTCTTATAGCATTTCTTATATAAATTAGAGTTCTTATGTTTTAATTACTAGTTAAAAAAAAAATAAAAATAAAATTAAAGTGCAATTAAGTAAAAATTAAATACTTTTGTCATTTAGTAATAATAGAGTTAGCTCGGTGGTGATTATACTAGACTCGAAAGCGACGCTCCTAAAAAAGTTGGCTCTCTGCTTGAGATTTTCGATTTTTTTTAATTTGCTGTACGTAATTTCATTACAAAAATTAATTGACATAAAAATCTAAACTCTGTTATAAATGCATGTATTAAAAAAATTTTAACTGTACAGATATTAAAATAAAAAATAAATGCAGCACTTCGAATAAAATGCACAAAAAATTTCGCATAAAATTGAAAAATACATGATTGTGGTGAGTGAGTGGTATTTGTAGTTAGAATAAAATCACAGAACTGTTACGATATACTTAGAAGTCCTGTAAAATGCATTTAAATAAGAAGCCTGTTAATTTATCATGTACTATAATAGTGACTCTCAAATGTACAAAGTTACATGAGAGTCAGACAAAGTTTATTTAAGAGTCACAATTATACTTCTGTCTTACTTTTTGTATACTTATTGAATAGAAACTCAAAAACTTGTTTATTAATCTCCGAATTTCATATCTTATCACAACATGTGACTGTGTGTCATAGTAAAAAACGGTAGATAGATACATAAAACTTTTTTTGTTTTAACGGTATCTAACTTAATTATGTTAAGGTAATCTCTCCCTCATGCATCTTTACCTCTTCCAAAGACTAGTTATTGACAACTAAATTAAAATTTCTTTACCTCCCTTGAATCACTGTAGCCCGACTCTACCTGTTTGTCTTTCATCTTTTTTTTTTCTAAGTAAAGTTTTCTTAACTTAAATTCTAAAAGAAAGAACACTATGACTATATAGTTTTACACCTAAAAACTTATGTTCACTTAAGTAATACATTTTTTTTTTACTGGGTTACCACGACAGTCTATTGGTCTAGTCACTGTGATCGCCTACTCACAATCTATGTGTGGGGGTGTATTGACACACCCATTCACCGATCCCTTAATTAATATCGTACCTATCATATCATGGGCACATTGGGAATTTCTCTGATAAAACACCTCGCAAGTTAAGCTGAACATCCCACTCGCCACTAAGCAGCTTTTTCCTGAAATTCCTGAAAAAGACTCCGTATTTTAGGACGTCCACTCCTCACCGGTCAAGCTGGCACTCTTTGCCAAAGCATCAGATCCAGCCTAATTAGCATCCCCACAGAGGTTCTTTGTTTCAGGGTTAGTCTATTACCTAGAGACAGAAGAAATACGATTAAATCTGATGTTTCGTAGAAAAGAAAGAATTGGTCATTCCCCTACAGAACTTCCCGAGGAAAAAGGAAAAAAATAGTTTAGTCAAAATCAGAAGTCGGCATCTCTTACTTATTCAACAATTTATAAACAAACCCCAATTTTTTATGTAGTTTTTCGGTTATATCTTAAGTTTTGTTAAAGGCATTTCACGACCGTCAATTACTTTGTTATCAAATTTTCTATTAATTGGATACTTTTTCAAATCCATTATTTATTGTTAATAAGACATTAATGGCAAAAAATTGCAAAAGAAATCATTTCACACCAAAAAACTTTCGATTAACGTAGAAAAAAAATATCATATGAATTTGAAGGTAACTGTAAGAAAATATTGATTGTAATTTGCAAAACGAAAAGCTATTTGTAACATAACAAAATAATTACTAGTTTTGTGCTAATCGATTTTTTTTGAGTAAAACTTTAAAGTGTTATTGGAAACTTCATGGTCGGTTTATCAACATTTTCCTGCAGTAAAAACATTGCTTTAAATTTTAATGACAATAATAAAAAAAAATTGTTTTTGTAAATTTTTACATTTTTTTATAAAAATATTATTTTGCAACTGAAACAATTGCGAATGTCTCAGTCAATTTTACATGCTTCTTTTCCCAACAAACGTGAGTGTCTTTCCCTTAAGAACACGAATTTATTTTTAAAAAATGCTCTAGCTCACTCTGAAGCCAAAATACAAAAAATTAGAGTTTTTGGCAAGAGCGGACTGATAATTAAATTTAGTATTGCAAAAAAATTTGTGTATCATCTTCATGTATTTTTGCATCACACTTTAGGAGCGCATTATCAACTTCATTGAAAAAAAAGCTCAAAAAAAAATTTAAAAAGTTGCATTGTAACAGCCAGGGCAGCTCAGCGCTCTCATCTGTACCCCTCATTAGGTGGCCGACCAGATGCAGTGCGCTCAGGGCAACAACGCGGGCTGCAGATGGCGTTTGAATTAAATGACTTGTTATACACAATTATATAGTAACAAATATAATATAATGATATTGTTGCATAACATGTTTAAGTAACAAATTAAAAACAAAAACTGATCGGGATACAAAATTCATTAGTTTAAATTTTCGTGTACATTAAATTTCAGCTTTTTTGGTACATAAAAATTATGCTTTTAAAGGGGATCAATTTTTGCTATAACTATCATCTGTATCACTATCTGTTGCACTCTCCATCATAGCATACATACAGTCGTTAACATTTTAAAGCAGGGACAGGGACCGAAACACACGTTTCACTCAGTTTTGATAAATTATCAAAACCAAAACGTATATTTAATATGGTTTCATTTCTTAACAACCAAGCAAAGGAGTTATTTGATTTTGTTTCATTTTTTAGAAACTAAACAAAAACGTACTTCAGAAGAAAACACTTTAGGTTTTTTTTGTCTCTTGATAATGAAACAAAAGTTAAACGGAGTTCAGTTTCGCTCCTCACACACGAAACAAAATATAATGACAATTAAATTCTGTTTTTAATAAACGAAACATAAGTAGACATACGTATGTTTCGTTGTACTTGATTTCCAAAAAACCATAACATTACTCAAAATTTGTTTTGATTTTTTTTTAACGAAACAAAAACTTATAGTAAGAAGACATAGTTTCATTCCTATTTTGTTTTTATGATAGAAAAAACTGGCACTCTAGGAGTGCAGACAGAAGTTAAAACTTTAAGAATAACGTGGGCATTTTTGAATAGTCAGGATGTATTTTTTGTAGGAAATACTTTTTACGCATTGCTGGGCTGGGCAGTGCCCTAAAAAACCGCAAGAGGGGTGTCGGGAACCCGGACACAAGCAAAGCTGCTTTACATGTGTGGAAACGAAACATCCGACATTAATGCTTTCAGTAAATTCAGCGGATATTTTTATAAACATGTCAAAGGACACATACACACACACATGTATATATGTTCCAAATATCTAACAATTTATTAGCAAAGATGTCAGGAAAGATTAAGTTCTGAAATAAAATAAGTGTACAAAATTAATTTATAAAAAATAGTGTAAACTATATACACGGTACATGCAGCTGCCAAAGCAGAAATTTTAGGCAGGCCATCAGTAGGGCCTGCTAAGGCTGCCTCTTTAGCCTACTGAGGTTCTACATTGACAGCGTCAGAGGGCATTTGGTAGGCCCTAAGTAGGCTGCCTTAATCGACGTGACCTAACCACTTTCAATTTATAAATATAGATATGTCTATATAAGAATATATAAGAATACATATTATATATTATAATTAAACAAAAGTCCTGCTTCACTTAGAAGGAATTATTTTCAATTCCTTCATACATTAGTTTTTATATGAATAAAGGAGTGAGTGTAACCTTTAAAATATCTTTCACTGTTAATTGAAAATTGACAATATCAGTGTATGATTTGTGTGAGTTAACTCTTAAGTACTTTTCAATATAAATCAAGTAATATATACAAATTAACTGCTCACACTGCAACTCACTTTTTTTTTTTATACGAAAACACATTGACTTAATTGAATGACAGATTAACTTGACTTAATAGCAGACAACTGAATTACAGTATACAAACTCTTGCATATAAAAGATTTTTAATGTAAGTATGGTTTTTAAGTAGTTTTCGACACACAAATTCTTTGAAGCAATAACAATTGCTCATGTAACCGGTACTTTGAAAAACTTGTTTCGTTGAAAACAAATTTAATGACGGCTGATATTGTCATTCTCATGTTTATGAGAAAACTCATTAATTATGTCAATAGCAATGAATATTAATACTAGTCACTTGTGTACTTATATATAATTTTAGGCTACAGTTAACACTGTAACTATAGCTGATATAACTATGTATACAATGTGTAAGGTAAGATAAAGGTAGCTTATGAAGACTGCTTAATAAGTATTTCACGGAGGTTCCCTGACGCGCCTAGGTGTGCCCTCAGTAGACTACCTAAGTAGGGCCTCACGAAATAGAGAGGTGACGAACTGTCATTTCTGACTAGGTGCATGTATAATTATATATACGATGTTGTATACAAAGTCAACGAAAGATCAGCTGAGATGGGCCTTGAGGATGGCAAAATTCAATCGCTTCCGAGATCATACAACTGACTCTGGATACAGTGGCAGTGCAGCAGCAGTAACAGCAGCTCTAAAGATATGAATACACACACGTTATGCTGCTACGACAGCTGAGTGCAGTGGGGGAAGCATGTCAATCTATAGATTTTCTCCAGTGCTTTACTTAAAGTAAGTCACGGGACACTTTGGAATGAAGTCCCTACCGAATGCAGGGTTTAGACTGATAGAATTAGATTTCACACCATTTAAAAAAAAATTGATTCCTATGAGCGAATAAAAAATTGGATTAGCGAGATAAAAGTGGTAGAAATTGCTGCAACCAAAAACGAACCTCTGAATTTATCACATGTCTTTTCAACATTTAACGTAACATTAGTCATCATAAGTGGGAAGCTATTAACGTACGTGTCTAAAAACGCATTATGAAACTTATTTCCCGTATGTGCAAATGATTATTTTTATAATTATTATAATAATGATTATAATAGTAATAATAATAATAATTATTGTTATTTATTGC